TCAAGTGCTTTACGCTTTAGTTTACCTTTTTTGGCAGGTGGGTTGTGACTCCATTTGATCAACGGAAATATTTGATTTTGGTGTAATAATTTGCAACGAAAAAATGTTCACTTCGAGATGGAGCGCATAATTTAAGCATGGATATCCCAATCCGAAATATTATTGTCATTAAACTTCATTATTTGGCAATCAGAGTTTACTAGTTTCAGTCAGTAGTCTTGCCTGCTGAAATGGTGGTTATGGAGATGATAACGTGTTTTCATGCCATTCCTGTAAGTCAGCATGTCTTGGAAGGCGATGTACTAGCTCATTCAAGTAGAAAACCCCACAACTTATTATGAAGACCATCAAAACGCGTTTCGTTGGCAGAATTCCGATATATTCAATTTCGGCCCTTCAAATAGACCAAATACAATGCTTGTCCGTATAGAGGAAATATGCCATTAAGTATAAGACCGTGAAATGCTTTTCAAATCAGTGTGCTATCTGAACGTGCCCGTCAAGATCAGATCAGTAGCAAATTCGTTTCTGGTTATTGCAACGGACATTTGCATTGAATAAAGCGACAAATAGGAACTTTTGAAGGCCTTTGACCATCGTTCCTTCGTCAGCAGAGCTATGTCATTTGAGTGATAAGGAATGTGTTTTATCGCTCGATATGGTTGTTATATTTAAGTCTGCATGATCAATAAGACTCTAATGCCTAAATCAAATTTTTTTTTCGCTTAGAAAGATCACAATTGGAGAATTGGTCATCTGGGAGTTACATCATGGAAGGGTACGTATGGCGCTCTCTTTGGTTGCATTGACTGTTTGAAGTTTCCAATGAAGATTGAGTTTGCAATGAAGTCGGCAAGTTGACGTTGAACGTTTCTATGAGATTGGAGACTGTATGAAGTCGTTTTGGGGGAAGTGGGAAAGTTTGTAAACGATCACCAGATTAGCTCTGGTCAGAGAGTTTTGGTATTTTGTGGGCTGGTTTTCAGGCCCTCTTGCTGTATGACTGGTTCAGACAGATTGATATGTATCGGAGAAGGTTTTCCACTTGCAGCTGATACTTCTCTTGCTTCATGCAGTAGAATGTACAGCCAGACAAGTATCGATTTGGAGTATTCTAGCGAGATGTAAAAGTCTTTTGCATTGTTCTCGTGAATCAGCTTGGAAGAAGTCGGTATTGAAATCGAACACTAGATTGACTGACAAGGAGGATTACTGGCAACGAGACTCAAGATGTAGCAAAACACCAGAGAGAGGTGATGGCAATTTTGAGAGATTTTTGTTTGTTAATTGATTATTATTCCACTTCGCATATCGAAGAAATCGAGTTAACCTTTGATATTTGCGTTTGTTCGATGAGGTCAGTGCTAAAATTTTTATGATGTACCACATTATATCATTGCAGTTTTGATCAGCCAAATATCGTACTAGCCTAAACGAAGCTATCGACAGCAAGCTTTTAATGGATTTTCGCTAAATATTTGATACCCTGACTTGAGAGTAAGTGGCAAACCCTAATATCTTAATTTTGCATCAAATCGACTGAATCAATGATTTATTAACTTCTACAGCATTTTGAATTTGAAAATTAGTTATTGAAAATGAAAGTACGAAATCAACTTCATTTAATAAAAAAACTAAAATGCCATCAAACTGCCAGTTTTATGACAAATTGAGAAACACTCGTGCCATTGTGTACAATACTGAATAGCTTTAGCAGAAGGAATTTCCTTTACATTGATGCTGTTGAAATGATTCATGATAGAAGGCGTGAAGTGTTGAATTCGGTTCTAATTTTTGTTGTGTGGACGACGATGCTGGAATTTGTCATCTATCCTTTCAAGTGTACTTGCAGTGACGTCTTCGTTGTATATTGATTCGACTTTAGAAGATTACTAAGTAAAGCAGTTGGTGTGTCAATGCCATTCAGACACTGGCAAAATAGGATCCACTCCATTCCACTCCACTCCACTCTGCTTGACCCTAACCCTAATCCTTCACGTTTATTCCTCAATTTCACGGGCACGTCAGTCAAACTAGTGCTTGTCACTATGCATCTATCATTTCAACAGGGCCAAAATCAACTTACTTTGCATTTTCAACTTTTTCATAAAATAGCTATGAAGATTTACGAATGGCAAATAGACTATTACAAAAGGAATAATAATTAGATTTATACTCTGCACAGGAATTCATTTTTATTAAGAGGATTGAAAACTTTGTTAATTCTATTTGTAGTTTTTAAAACTAGAGGTGAATGAATTTAATTCAATTCATTTAATAGATGGACGAAGAGGATCACCACCATGATTCGCTCTGACCATTAGGCATTAAATAAGCCTAAAATTGTGATATTAGCATATTAATAAGATATATTTTCATTCACCAATGCTGAAGATACTTCATTGAGTCCAACATCGGAATGGTTGATTGAGTTAGTTGGCAGGCAATGAGATGATAATCAAAGGAAATTGGTAATTGCACATGCAAAATTTGTGTAGAGGTCAAGTTCACCTTGCTCCAATTGACCCTTTCTTGAAGTTGAGTCGGGTCTCCCTTTGATCAACAGAAATTTTCTAATTTGGCAAACTAATTTGCGTGGAAAAATACTTTCTTATAGATAAAGCATCTCATTTTACCATGATTCCAATTAATTTTCAATATTTGGCAATCAGAGATTTCAATTTACATGAAGGCTAGTGCCCATACTACTGCCTTTATTCAGAGAGTTTGACTGTTGAAGTTGTAGTCTCAGTGGTGATAAAGCCTGCTTTCACTACTCCATAACATGTAGCCTTGTTGAAGCACACGATCTGCACATTGAATTGACTTGTGTAGTGTGTAGACCAACTTTGAGTTGCGCCTTCAGTAAGAGAAGGACAATTGAAATTTGATGAATTACTTCACTTCCCATTTTTGAAGTTTATTGCGCTAGTTTGTACAACACATTTTATAATAAATGCACAATTCTTAACAATGACCATGCAGTTCAAAATCTTCCGCAATCTTGATAGCAGTTTGAATGACGGATCCATTGCATTTATGTTGTGCAGGTGGAATCAGTTGATAGCTTAATAAAACGAGCATCTTTGAAGAAGTCGCCAACTTCTTTCTCTTTTAATCAGAAACCATGCCATCTGGACTGGATGTCATCGCTATATAAATGGCTAGAAGAGAAGAAGCTTGATGCTTGACAAATTGTAATGATGAGATGAATGAAGCGGTCGAATTAAAGTTGATGAATGAGGTAAATAATTGAAAGGAAATGAAATTCATCCTTTTCAGTGGCCTTCCAGTTCGTCGAGATTTCAACACCAGTAATTTCCCAAATTCGAGGTAAAAATATTAGAATTGGATGCTCTCATATCCGAGTGCGAGCATGTATTCGGAATGTTAGAAGTCTTTCGATTCCACATAAATGGTACTCTCATTTAAATGGATGTCACTCATTGCATTGAAGGAACTGGTGTGAGACATTGGTTGAGGTGCCGAAGCATATCTCAAGTTACTGGATTTCACTACATGAAGTCTCTAATAATCTGGTGAACTACAATTTAACGAAGTCTTCAATGCCCCTATCTCTCAGAATTTATCATAAGTAATAATCGTATGAGCAGTGAATGCGATTGTTTAGTTTTGCAATGGAGAAATTTGGTAATGACTTTATCAATTAGCGAAGGAGCCTCAAAGCTCGGTGATCGAAATCGCCCAAACAGATTTGGAATGACTCCAACTTCACTTCATTATGCTGATTAAAATACGTGTGCCATCATAAGAATTATAAAAGGGTGAATTTGAGTGCCCATAAGGCACAGAGACTTCATGAAGATGAGGTTCCTCAATATCATATCACTGTGACACATTTATTTGACTGTATTCCACCCATAGAACCTGTGGAAAGAACCTTACTGGAACCTTATCATTTAAAATGAGCATAACAACGGAATTGTTGAAAACGCTTGGTGGAAGTTAATGAGGTAGTAACTAGAGGAAAAATTAGGGAAGGGGTCAAGTTCTCCAAGTTTCAATTGATCCTTTCTTGCATGTGGATTGCGACGCCTTTCGATCAACAGAAATAGTTCTAGGTGGAATACATTCAAATAAATGTGTGTTGATTGAATACCAAAATCACCGAAATGTAAGTCTCAACGATCTGATATTGAGGAACCTCATCTTCATGAAATCTCTGTGTCAGTATCGACTAGTGCGACATGACTGCTTTTAGGAGATGAGCATCGATTTCTCATAAATCAAGTACACATTCACGTTTTGTATATGAAATCCTTGCCTATTGTTTTATGGCATGTCACACTGTAACATCTCAATTGTGGCCAGCCGAATGCCTCACCTTTTAAGCAATTGCCAATTGTCGACTTTATTCACTTGCCTTATGTTGATGCTCTTTAAAAAATGTTGAGTGAAATTATGCACGGGAGTTGCTTTAACGAAGTGGATTAAAAGCGATTCCATGTAGTCTAAGTTTAAGAAGATATGACTAGAGTTGAGAGAGGTGCTCAAGGTGAAGTCTAACTAGGGGAATTTCTTCACTCCATTATGTTGGTGTACCAAGTGAATCAATACCTTTATTTCCTTTCATCGTTTGACATTAACCATATATATATATATATATATATATATATATCGCTTCTTGTCAGAACGATAATAATGAAATCTAACAACTTGAAAAATTTGTATTCATCAGTTATGAGAACTACTACTAAATGAGCACAGCAATGGAATTGTTCATAGGATAATTTTACTTACACCTTGCAAATAATTCTGCCAAATTGAATTGTTTCGGTAGATCAAAGGGAGTAACAACCCACATGCAAGAAAGGGTCAGATGAAGGATGAAGTACTGACCTTTTTAATGAATTTGTATGTGAAATTTCCTGCTGCCTATATAAATAGGGCAAAGCTGATTGCCATGCAACATAATAAGCACTTCACTACAAAGATGCAATTGGTGGCATTTCTCCTNTGCATGAGTGTGGCGATTTTGCATGGCACGCCTCTGGAAAGGAACCGCAGAGATGCTGAGGGAGTTCAGGAAACAACGGAGCCAACTAGTAGCAGTGATGCAGCAANNNGTGGCGATTTTGCATGGCACGCCTCTGGAAAGCAACCGCAGAGATGGTGAGGGGATTCAGGAAACAACGGAGCCAACTAGTAGCAGTGATGCAGCACGAGATCAATTCTACCATGCATGGCAGGGCCATGATAATGACTCTCTCATTCAGTCGGCTGATGCCATACACGAAGCACGTTGCCCTTCGAGTGGAACGCAAACTTGAATTGGCATTGGAGCCCTCTTTGTTGCGCCTATTTAAACATTATCTACATATCGTTCTATAATAAATTCATTCATTATGTTCCAAGTGTACTTGTTTCCATTCCGAATGGTAGATTAATGTAAGAATTACGTGCTCTAAGTAAAATAGATATATCTGTAAACCAGCTTTGCGATAATGGCAGATCGCATTCTGTCACTAGAAGCACCCATGCTACAAAAAACGAGAACAATCTCCTGAAACTCCACAAACTATCCCCTGAATGGTTCAAATGTCTGAAATTTATGAATTTTAGTAAGTACTGCAACTGTGTGTGCAAACAAACGGTGTCCACAATTCTGAGCCCTTCATTGTGTGTTAATTGAAAGTGGTTAAACTCCAAAGTAGGATCATTAAGCAATGAAAGAGAATTTTGCATATCACCGCTTGAATTCTTTCATAACAAAGGCGACAGTCGTTGTTTATTCAAGCAGCGACAATTATATTACTTCGCCCACATGTGTCTGCGTGTCTGCCGAAACTCGATATTTGTCGTTTCATTGAAGCCATCAGCAATCGTTGTGCCTGACAATATCGGAGAAGCTTTCTTAGCATTAAAGTCCTAATTTGAAATAATCAGTGTATTTATGCATCCCCTAAGCGATAAGGAAACCAGGTTTGGAAGTGTCAATGGTATGAAATTTTCTCAAATTACTAACTTTATGGGCATAGTTCTAGTGGTAAGTGGGCTCATCTAGATTATCAGTAGGATTCAGGAGAGCACTCGATGAAATTTTGAATTATTGGTGGCATTTATCGATTCTTGAATTCTCGAAAAGGACACCTGTCCCGTGAGATCAGAGATGCTGTTATTAGTTGGACTGGCAACCTCAGGAGTATTTGAAATTAATGGCACTTTTTAGCTTTGTCGTAAAATAAATTTCTTAAATTGAAGAAAATGCAGAAGAAGTTAGTGGGAGAATGTATAGTTGCTGTTGATTCTACAACAATGCCCCATTTGCATAGTAGTGTCAAATCTCAATGCCATTTAGAGGTCAACCAACACGCCCAACTGACGATACTCTGATCAATGTGGTGCCATGTAGGTCTCTCAAGCACTGCCCGTCAAAACTCCAATCCTACATCTATTCATTTAGAGCTACATGCGATTTCCGAAAAGGGAGGTAGCAGTTGGTATGAAGTTGGAAATACGGAGAGAAGATCATAGTAGGGATTTCCACGTTTGAAGGAAAGAGAAAAATAGTTTAATTTCGTTTCATTAACTCGAAATGTTCACGCTAATAGACCAAATCGATAGTAAGTACCACCAATCTAAATATGCGTTTCGCTAGACAGAATCACTGTTGGTTACTGAAATGCATTTTTCAGCATTCTTTCTTAACTTCGACAGCTTTAAGACTCCCGTAATTGACAAATTAGGTCATTTTGCATCTTACCACTCGCAGTCATTGAGTTTTTAAGTAGTTAGCAAAAATTAATAATTAAATAAGTGACTAAAAATAATAATTCAGCAGAAGTTAACTGGCTTCAATCGCAAGTATACTACCATGAGTTGACAATTGAATCCGGCCACTAATGAACTGAGCCAAACTCATGCCAACGAACTTCTCCATTCTCCGACTGTAAAATAACGCGTTGTCGATAGTTGCACTGCTATGCAGACTAGGAATTCGGCAAAGCTGGGTCAACCCATGTTAGAAGTCTGAAGTTGACAGTCTAGAATATAAAATCCATACTACTCAATCGGCATCAGTAGCATTTTTATACGTCCATAAATATACCCAACCATTTAAGTCAATGTCCCCACGCCCCATGCTATGAGGTTGCCATGGACTCAAGATAAGGTTCTAAAACCAAAACTAGAGGAAAGAGCGCATCTTCTGAGTGACCTCTTTTGCAGTGCCACGATAACTGACTCGAAGACAATTCATTTAAATGATATTAGAGCTAAACTAACTTTGCCGATATTATTAAATGGCGTTTCATTGAGAGGTCTTTACCCCCCTACTGCACATAATCTTGGCGCGACCAGCAAGAGTAAACATCACAATCATTTGAAATGGATATTTTGCATTTTTCACATTGATTAAAAAGAGTGTGTCACCTTTATTAAAGCAACATG